CAACTTTGCCACCTGACTCTGCTCTGGCCCCAGCGTTTGGGGGGCATCAGGGAGGGGGACCCGGGGCACTGAACAGCCACAGCTGGGGCAGAGCTGATTTCTCTGCGTGTCTGGGTGGCCCCGGGGATGTCCAGGGGAGGGGGCTGTAGCCAGGCAGGGAGTGGGCGGGGCTGGGACAGCATCTCTCCTTCCAAGGACGAGAAGGACAGGAGAGGGGAACACCTGGGCCTTGCCGGAGCCCACGGAGGAGGCTCAGGGCTATTCTCTCCAGCAATGGCTGTCCTCAGAAGCAGAGGAAGGAATCTGAATAAAAAGGAGCCGCAAGGAGAGAGTTGCCCACACCCCTCCCCACTACCACCACTGTTTCCAGGCGACACGCGGTCTGTCGCGGTTGCTGTCATACAAACCCTCTTCCCGTAAGATGGCGGGTCCCATGGGGAGAAGGGGTGAAGTGGAATATTTTATCAGCCGTGTACATATGTAAGCAGAAGTGGGGCTGAAAAGCAAAAGCTCATTTCCCTGAATAGGGGGAGGGGGGGCGGGGGTGGAGAGGGCTGGCCGGGTGGCTGGAAGGGACTTATCTCCAAGAGGTCAACAACCAGAACACGGATGCGACCGTGGTTTTCACTCTCGGCATTGTCAGCTCAGAAAACCTTACCACTGTGGGCTGTTCTGGGGGCAAAGTTTAAAAGCCATCTTGTTTTTGTATTAAAAATAAGAATCTGATATAGATAGAAAAGGTGAAAGAAGAAAAAAAAAAGTAAGGAATATTTGAAAACTGAGCCACGACAGGAGGACCATTCTCTGGGAGAGAACGGAGTCGGGTTTCCTGTTCACCGGCCACTTCTCACCCCTGGTTTGACAATAGTTCTGCTCCTGTGGGGAGCAAGTTCTAAGTGCTGGCTTCTTGGCAGTTGATGGTCCAAGTTCATCCTCAGCACCGGTGGGTCAGTGGGGTGCTTGGACACAGAAAATCGGGCATCCCTTGGGGGTCGGAGGAGGCAGGAGGTTGTCTGGGTACATGGAGTGGAAGGTATAATCTCTCCTCTGCTCTGAAAAAAAGGTAGCTTCTCTCCCCTGCCTCGGTGAGTGCCATCATTCAAGGGTCTAAAGAACTAGGGGGAAAAGATTAAATGATGTCTTGAAATACTTGCTTTGCCCAAGGTTTTAGCGTGAAAGTAACCAACCTCACAAATAGTTACCAGCCCCTCTGCTCGGGGTAAGTGACCGCTTGCACAGCGTGTCGTGAAGGAGTCTGGTTTACTTTATAGCTTAGTCTTTTGTGCTAGTTGGGGACACGAACGGGGAGAGGGCAGAGATCCACAAGCTGGCTGGGAGGCAGGAATGAAGCGTTCTTCTGAGGACCAATTGTATGGCCATTTCCAAAGAACAGAGCAGAGACATGATCAGATGGGCAGACAGCACAGCCTCCAACAGCTCTGCCCCGACTCAGGCTGGGGTCCGGCTGCCAGCTCATCCAGAAGTTTGTGAGATTATTAAAGTTAAGTGAGGAGGGATGGAGAGTGAGCACGAGAGAGAGACAGGGAGAGAGAGGGAGAGAGAGGTGAGAAACACAAGAACCCATCTGGGCAATGCATCACATTGAAATTGCCCCGCATTAAAAATTCACCAGCCAGTGAATTTTCAAGGGATTTGTAGTAATTAGATGACAAAATGCTGGCAAATCTCAGGCTTGCCAAAGATGTTACTCAGGGGTCAAAGACTCGACACTTTCGGCTGGGTAATTTGTAAGTGTCAATCACTCGCTGCCATCAGAGAGAAGGGAGCGATCTAACGGCTGCATTCTAACTAAGTGGAGGCGCGAGCCTTCAGCCGGCCGTCTGCCAGCAAACCCCTAGACCCCGTGGCCGCTGCGGCTCCAGCGCAGACAGCGGCTGCAGCCCCACCCGGAGCCCCTCTGGCCAACTCAACTTTCCAACTTCTTGTCTGATTGTATTCTCCTTTGTCAATTTCAGAAAGCAGCTTGCCAAGAGTTGGATGGACATTCGTCCTTCACGCGGGGGAAAGGGTCCTGTGGCTGGCTGCCACTGGAGCGCGAAACAACAGGGGGCTCTCTGTGCCTGGGTGGGCCCCGGGGCCTCAGTCTTCTCATCTGTGAAGTGGGGGTGAGACTCTCCTGGCAGAGCCGTCCTGACTGAAGGAGAAAGAACCTACTGGCTACTTGCAGAACTGATTCCTTTGCTGGGTATCCATATGCCATTGTCCCAGATGATGTGCTGGGCTCTGAGGACTTACCAGTGACCGAGAGGACCCATCTGCTCGTTGATAGGAAGGAGGGACGAATAATAAATCATCAAAAAGTATGTCTGAGGGTGCTAAGTGCTAAAAATGAAACAGAGCATAGAGCTGGTTGGGTAGTGGTGCTACTTTATACGGTGGAAGGAAAGTCCTCCTGGAGGAAGCGAGGGCAGGGAATGCTCACTAGAGGGGCTGTAAGGCGAAGCCCCAAGGCCCCAGCTGGATGATTCTGTTCTAATATCGCAAAACTGGAGACTGGGACAAAGACAGGCAAGGATACGGTGGGGCTAGACTCCTGAAGACTTTGACGCTTCGAGGTTCCATGAAGCCAGCCTCAGTGCAGCTGAGCCTGGACAGTCCCTGATTAAATCTGATTCTGGTTCTAACAAGGAGGAACAGTGTTTGGAGATGCCCATCCATGGCTGGCGGGCCTGGGCCAACACTTGCTGGGGAATCTCATTTCAGCTGCTCTGGCTGATTGAAAGTGAGTTGCAAAGGGGTGAGTGAGCCGGAAGGTAAGATGCTATCAGGACTGTGGCTGGCCTGGGACTGCCTGGACCTAAGATTGGAGACCCTTCTCAAGATAATGGCCCAGAAAGACCCCTCTTTCCCTCACTGCTCCTGCCCATCAGGTTGTTTTTTGAAAAGGGCACTGGCCATGGAGTCAGACAGACCCCGGGCTCTGAAGGCTGACTCTGCTGTGTCTGAATTGTGTAATCCTGGGAAAGGTACTCCATGTCGCTCAGAGCCTCAGTTTCTACATCTGGACAATGGGTACATGACCTCCACTCACACAGCACAGATGGACATTATTCATGAGAACCTGGCTCAGGGGAGGTTCTCAATAGATGTGCTTTTGACTCCAACATGGTTCTGATACACAAAATGATCAGACTCTGGTTGGCCACTTAAAGAGTATCTCTATGAGCAAAAGAAGTCTGCAGCTGAGCCACACTTAGGGGGATGAACCAGGGGACAAACCTCTGCTTTTAAAGAGCTGGAACAGTGTGTCTTTGTAAGGTTTGCCACCTGGTTGGCAAAATAAATGTTCAAAGCGGAATCTATAGGCTGGGAATATTTATGTATTTGGCGAATACTCATAGTGGGTCCGGGGAGGGGCCAGGGCCAGTGTCTGTAAATCACTTTCTCCCTTGAGCTCTTCCTGGTTTTATCACATTTGTTGTTGGTGGGGGCAGGGCGCCAGGCTAGGCGTATTTATTCCCTCACCCTCCTCCGTTCCTGGGCCTGGGTCTCCATCCCATCGAGCCTTCGCCGCAGGTTTAACTGGGCTGTGAAACTGCTCAAGGGGAAAATGAGAAACTACCCAGTGTTTCATGGGAGGCAGTGGGCTGGGCTTCCCGAGCCCCGACGGCCGACCCTCACTCTGCCCCCTCCCCAAGGAGTGGGGGAAAAACTGAAAGCTCTGGGACCAGGAGGCAGGTGTCCCGGGCACCCACCGCCTCCACGCTGAGCTCCCCTGCAGCCTGGAGGCCCGGAGACTCACTTGAGATGCAAATGAAAAGCAGCAGCAGCAGCAAGTCGGCTCATCTATTCCCCAGGGCTCCGCGTGACCATCGCCCATGTTTGCATTTTCGACTGGGGAATTTGAAGCTGACCTGGCGTCTCCTTAAGAATCGATGAGAGTGAACAATGCTGATCGCCTCCTACAGCGCTGCCGTTTATTGAGCACTTACTGCACGCCAGCCACTGAGGTCGGTCCCCGGTGAGCTTCGGCTCATCTGGTCCTCACAGGACCCAGGGATGCTGGGTGACTGTCGCTTCATCAGTGAGCCGGCCCCCGAGCACGTGTGAGGGCGTCCCGCCCACCCACTTCTGGTGTCCTCTGCTTGCTTTGATGGCCAGCCCTTCCCTCTGCCTGATTTTATATTACAGGCCCTGCAGGGATGGACCCAGACTTTGTGACGAAGGCATCTGATCTCTTCACCTCCTCGGGTCACAGAGGCTGTGGTTTGTAAACCACCGGTTTGTTGTCCTGAATCAGAGAAACAGCCTCAATCAGAGTGGTGGAGAGGGGCCCGGAGGGCGCTGGAAACGTGTCCTGGTTGCTGTCTGGGCAGCAGAGGCGGTGGCTTATTCAGGGCACACAGATTTCCAAAGCCAAAGCTAAGCTCTGGACGACGCAGAGTGTGTGTGCCCAGCTTCCCTGTCCTTTGCACACTGGGCACACAGACACACACACACCCCATCAGAGCTGGGAACATCCCCAGTGTCCCCAGGGCGTGCCCCTGCTCAGCAGTCTCAGTTGCCACAGTCTGAACCGTCAGCTCCTGCCCAGCCTGCAGGCCCTGAGGGGGGCTATGTCTGCTGCTCTTCTCCATGGACCCTGGGGCCTGGCCTGGGGAAAGTGCCAGTCAACCTTCTCTCTCAAAGCCCTTGGCTAGTGGTCTGGGGCTCGTGGATGAACGTCAAGAAGACCCGGCAGGAGCACCCCAGCCTCTAAGGAGCCAGGAGACTCCGGGGATGTCCCTGACATAGCCCTGGGCCTCAGTTTTCCCATCTGCAAAATGGGGGGAAGAAGCAGTGCCCATGGGCTGCAGGGCTGTGGTGAGGATTCGGTCATCGATCACTGGACTGAACTATATCACTGAATCCCCAGGTCCAGGGCTGAGCTCGTGAAGAAAGACGGCCGAGTCATTAGGACTCAGACCTCAGCCCCGAGACTCTGTCACAGGAGTGCCCGGGAGCCTCAGGGTGTTCTAATGTGAGCTGCAAATCCTTACTCTGGGTTGACCACCATCCCTGACAGAACCGACTGCCTTTGGAGACAGAACACAGGTTCTTGATGGGAGTCTGAACACCGATGCTGCCCCCACACCCACGGTGAAGAGGGGCGGGAGGGCAGGTGCTGCTTCTGAAACAGACTGCATCCTAACAGTTAGGGACTGTGGCACCAATGGGGCAGGACCCCAGGGAAGTGAAGGATGGAATAGGATGAAGTCTCTGCAGGCCTTCACGAGCTCTATTTAAAAATTAAAACATGGACTTCCCTGGTGGTCCAGTGGCTAAGACTGTGTGTGCGAAGTCACTCCAGTCATGTTCAACTCTTTGCAACCCTATGGATCGTGTAGCATGCCAGGCTCCTCTGCCCCAGGCAAGAACACTGGAGTGGGTTGTCATGCCCTCCTCCAGGGGGTCTTCCCAATCCAGGGATCGAAGCTGCACCTCTTGAGTCTCCTGCCTTGGCAGGTAGGTTCTTTACCACTAGCGCCACCTGGGAAGCCCCAGTAGCTAAGACTCTGCACTCCCAATGCAGGGAGCCTGGATTTGATCCCTGGTCAGGGAGTTAGATCCTGCATGCCACAGCTAAAGATCTTGCATGCCACAACTAAGACCTGGTGCAGCCAAAAATATATATATATATAAAATCTAAACACTCCATGTGCAAGAGGAAAAGGGACAGGCTCTGGCTGCCATCAGCCTGGCTGGAGGTAAGATTCCAGCTCACAGGAACAAGCAGGAAGGGAGGCTCAGAGCCTCACCAGGGCTTTCTCAGATGAGCGGGGCTGTGTTCCCACGTTTGAGAGACAGCAGCAGAGGCAGACACAGAGGATCAGGGCTGGGTGGGGAATAGCACATCTTGGAGTAGGCCACCTGCTTCCAGCTCTGGCTCACCTTGGAGCTGTGTGGTCTTGGGCAAGGCAACTAACCTCTCTGGGTTTCTGATTCCTCAACTGGCAATGAGGATGGTGATCACGGTGCCTATCTTGTGAGGATTAAGTAAATATATCCATTGTTAGAGCAGTGGTGCTGATGGTCACTTAGGATGGTGGATGAGCCAAGACCACAGTAGGGGAGGCCGAGGGAAAGAAGGAAGGAAGGATCTTCTCCCAAGGCCCACTCTGTGCCAGGGCTTTATATCTCTTTCAACCTACAAATGGGGTCAGCACTCAGAGAGGTTCAGCGCCCAGCCTGAGTCACACAGCAGGGTGATCACCTACCAAGACCTACTCACTGAATCCTCCAAGATGGGTGTTCCTGTCATCCCCATTTTACAGAAGAGGAGACTGAGGCACAGAAAGACCAGGCCACCTGGCCCCGAGGTCACAGAGTTCGTTGTAAGCTGTCGAGCTGGGATCCAGCCAGCAGTCTGGCCCTTCCCACTCAGCTGTGCCTGATTCAGATTCACGGACCTTGGGCTGCGGGGAGGGTGGGTGAGCTGGGTGTCCACGGGATGTGGCCACAGCTCCCAGGACCAGGCCTTCCTCACTTTGTGATGAAAGTCTCGGTCCTCCTGAGATGGTTTGCCCCTGGCAACACGGCTCTCCTGGGGTTTCTGGTTGGTCCCTGCGACCATGGTCAGGAGATTCCCAGGAGAGGCTGACCCAGCTCTCGGTTGGGGCCCCCCACCCTCAGTGCCTGGCAGCCACCAGCGTGGGTGCCGTCATCTTCGGAAGGGCCCATTCCCTCTCCCCAGCCCCTTTCACGTGCTCTGGGTCTGGGGTCCAGGGCCTGCCCCCAGCTCCCGCAGGGTGCTGGCTGCTCTGTAAGGGCCCCCCTACTCCCCAAGCAGTCTGGCAGTCCCTCGGGGGTGCAAGGGGCCACACGTGGACCGCCTTACCGCCTGCAGCCCCGCCGTCAGGTCTCCTGATTCTGGTCACATCGTGACCACACCTGCCTGCCGCTGCACGCCTTTGCCACCCTCCTTCCCCGGGCCCCGGCTTGGGGTGAAAGCCTTGCTTATTAGTCAATCTGGGGCCCACTTACTGTGAATTACCAGGCCTGATTGATATTCATGAGTGGATACGTCTGAAACCTCAGTCAGCTGCCACGTGACTCTGCCTGGGGGAGGCGGCTGCTCTGAGGACGAGGGGACCTGAGCCACCCCGCACGCAGCAGCGGCCCCCAGCTCACAGCTGTCCTTCCCCGGCTGTGGACGGACCAGGAGGTGAAGCAGGACTTTCCAGGCTGGATGGTGGCAGAGAGGAGGGGCCAGGCAGATGGTGGGGAGCAGTCGGATGGTTTTCAGACACTAGGAAGTTCAAGTCTGGCCTCTCGGAGCAGGAACCAGGAGGAACCACTTTGCAACATGCCGTCTCTACCCGCCCCCCGCCCCCCCACAAGATTACCAGCTTCCAAAGGCCAGGGCAGGTGACCTAGGGATTGAATAGAAGCCAGGTTGCAGAGGCTAAACCCCAAACTCCAATTTTCAAATTCAAACGTTTCCCAGAGAAAACGGGCTTTGAACAGACTGAGTCTTGGGAATTGGTAAGAACTGGATCTGGGTGTTGAAAGAACCTGGGGGCTTTTTAAAAAATGGGGGGTGGGAACCATGTCCCACACACAGGACGCTCAGGTCGCTGTGGGGAGGGGTCGGCTCCCCTTTGAGGAGGATTGGGATTGAGCCTTCCCCAGATGGAGGGAATCTCCCAGTGACCCCAGGCAGTGCTGGGGCCCACCCAGCTATGATGATCAGAGGGCAAAGAGCACAGACCCTTCCAGCAGGAGGTTATAAACTCGCTGGTCCACGGACACCTGGGGGCTTGATGAGCTCCACCTGAATCCCTTGGCAGCACAAACACTCCTGAAGTGAGAAGACACATCAAGGAGGCCGGACTCTCCTGCCTGGTTAGAATTTTTCTGGTTTTGGCAATTTAAAGAGCCTCTGAATGGCCTGCTTCTCCAGAGGCTGGACTAGGGACGACCTTTTTTATTCCCCCCCAAATATGAAAACAGGTATTTATTATAGAACAATTTTTAAAGATTAATTAAAGGCTTTAAACAAAGGAACAAGCAAAAACATAATTCCACACACTGACATTGACTTGGTAGCATGGAAATACTTCAGCCCAAAGAGGCATGTTCATCTTTGATGAATTTACACATAATAAATTCTCATGACATGATTCCAAAATATATGTATGAACTGACATGACGTGATTATAAACATAAGCGAATTTAAACCCTGGTATTAGTTTACATGAGTTCAATTTAAGGTCAGTGACTTAGTGGGAACCTCACACTTGCGGACAAGCCCTTGAAGGCTTCCTTTTTTTTTTTTCTAACAAAAGCTCTCACATGTTTATCACTAAGCCAAAGCCCTCACTGAGCAACACCGACAACAGAACCAGCCTTCCCATCTGTCCCATAAAACACACCTGCCTGTTCAGACCGTAGTGACGTTCTCTCTACTGTGATGTGATCAGACACAAGTGACCTTGATACCACATACATCGGTGTCACTTCATGTGCGAGGCTCCTTATAGACCCAGCCTGGTTCTTCTCCAATGTCTTCTCTTGGGGTCGTATCTGATTTTATTACCAGTTTTCATTCGAATCCACTGGAGAATGGAATGATTCTGCTTTTGTTTCCTGGCCAGGAATTGCCTGAAAGTCTTGTGTAAAGACATGGTGAGGAGCAAATTCAGCCACACACAGGATGACTGGGAGGCTTCCCAGGTGGCCAAGTGGTAAAGAATCCACCTGCTGACACAGGAGATCCTGGTTCGATCCTTAGGGTGGGAAGATCCCCTGGAGGAGGGCATGGCAACCTACTCCAGTATTCTTGCCTGGAGAGTCCCACGGACAGAGGAGTCTGGCGGGCTACAGTCCATGGGGCCGCAAAGAATCAGACTCAACTGAGCGATTGAGCACAGCGTGGCGGAGACGAGAAGATAGCTTCCTTGAGTCAGCCTCCATCTGCTTTAAAACCACGATTTTGGGGGTAGTCACAACAAGGGGATATATACTCTAATTGCGCCACCATCTGTCTGCCGGGTCACCACAGCTGGCTGTATTCCTAGCTGGCTCCTGTTCTTCGGTTGAGCACCAGGTAGAGAAGATGACAAAGCATCTCAGGGTCTACAAAAGATGTCCCAGCTCAAAACTGTTGTGGTGACATGTTTATTCCACAAGGGCTGGGAGTAGAACTCAAGAATAGAAATCCTGGAGCAGGAGTGGCCCCACATCCTAGCTCCTCTTGGGAATACAGTTTGAGAATCATTAAAGGAACCAGTGTTTTAGGCTATGTCTTCTGTGGCCCACCACTTCTCAAGCATCCTTCCTTCTCCCAAGCAGTCAAAACTTTGACTGTGGGGTGGTGGCCAGTGTAGATGCCTGGAGGGAAGCCAGCACCTTCCTGGAGTATTAGGGATGGGAGGCTCCCTTCAGTCCTCAAGCCTCAGTTTCCTCATCTGCCTCGTCTCAGACGAGACTCAGCCCTGTGAGAGCAACTTGTAAATCGTGGGGTGACACTCACATGTGCAAGGTGGTGGAGGTATCATGGCCTGGAATCTTCTGGGGGTACCGGGAGAAGGGAAGGGCTCCTGACAGTTGCCAGGGAAGGAAGGAGCAGCTGCCATCCAGACATCTGCACGACTACAGAGAAATGTTTGCTGTTGGCCTGAGCCCAAGGATGGGGCACCGCAGCCCCAGTGGATTGTTTTCATGAAAGCTGCAATTAAGGGTAAATGGGGTCTACTAAGGAAGCTGGAGGGGATGGAGCCCTGGCTTCTGGCGATGCTCTAATTAGATCACAAGGCCCCTCTTATTTTGCTGCTGAGCCAGAAGTCCTGGGCTCGGGGCTTGCGCTGGGTGGGTGATGGTGAGAGCCTGCCAGGGCTCGGGGGCACGTCTGCTCCTAGGGGAACGGGGTAAGGACAGTGCCTGTCCAGTGCTCGCCACGTGGCAGGGATCAGACTGTACCCGTTTGATTCTCTCAAGCTCGGGAGTTGCAGGGCTGTAGTTCTCTGTTTGTGGATGAGAAGACTGAGGCCTCAGAGAGGTCGAGGAGCGAGCTCAAG